CATCACGAAGGGGTGCTTCTGCGAGAAATACTGCGGGTGAGTGAGTGCATCACGAAGGGGTGCTTCTGCGAGAAATACTGCGGGTGAGTGAGTGCATCACGAAGGGGTGCTTCTGCGAGAAATACTGCGGGTGAGTGAGTGCATCACGAAGGGGTGCTTCTGCGAGAAATACTGCGGGTGAGTGAGTGCATCACGAAGGGGTGCTTCTGCAAGAAATACTGCGGGTGAGTGAGTGCATCACGAAGGGGTGCTTCTGCAAGAAATACTGCGGGTGAGTGAGTGCATCACGAAGGGGTGCTTCTGCGAGAAATACTGCGGGTGAGTGAGTGCATCACGAAGGGGTGCTTCTGCGAGAAATACTGCGGGTGAGTGAGTGCATCACGAAGGGGTGCTTCTGCGAGAAATACTGCGGGTGAGTGAGTGCATCACGAAGGGGTGCTTTTGCAAGAAATACTGCGGGTGAGTGAGTGCATCACGAAGGGGTGCTTCTGCGAGAAATACTGCGGGTGAGTGAGTGCATCACGAAGGGGTGCTTCTGCGAGAAATACTGCGGGTGAGTGAGTGCATCACGAAGGGGTGCTTCTGCGAGAAATACTGCGGGTGAGTGAGTGCATCACGAAGGGGTGCTTCTGCGAGAAATACTGCGGGGGAGTGAGTGCATCACGAAGGGGTGCTTCTGCGAGAAATACTGCGGGTGAGTGAGTGCATCACGAAGGGGTGCTTCTGCGAGAAATACTGCGGGTGAGTGAGTGCATCACGAAGGGGTGCTTCTGCGAGAAATACTGCGGGTGAGTGAGTGCATCACGAAGGGGTGCTTCTGCGAGAAATACTGCGGGTGAGTGAGTGCATCACGAAGGGGTGCTTCTGCGAGAAATACTGCGGGTGAGTGAGTGCATCACGAAGGGGTGCTTCTGCAAGAAATACTGCGGGTGAGTGAGTGCATCACGAAGGGGTGCTTCTGCAAGAAATACTGCGGGTGAGTGAGTGCATCACGGGTGAGTGAGTGCATCACGAAGGGGTGCTTCTGCGAGAAATACTGCGGGTGAGTGAGTGCATCACGAAGGGGTGCTTCTGCGAGAAATACTGCGGGTGAGTGAGTGCATCACGAAGGGGTGCTTCTGCGAGAAATACTGCGGGTGAGTGAGTGCATCACGAAGGGGTGCTTCTGCGAGAAATACTGCGGGTGAGTGAGTGCATCACGAAGGGGTGCTTCTGCGAGAAATACTGCGGGTGAGTGAGTGCATCACGAAGGGGTGCTTCTGCGAGAAATACTGCGGGTGAGTGAGTGCATCACGAAGGGGTGCTTCTGCAAGAAATACTGCGGGTGAGTGAGTGCATCACGAAGGGGTGCTTCTGCGAGAAATACTGCGGGTGAGTGAGTGCATCACGAAGGGGTGCTTCTGCAAGAAATACTGCGGGTGAGTGAGTGCATCACGAAGGGGTGCTTCTGCAAGAAATACTGCGGGTGAGCGAGTGCATCACGAAGGGGTGCTTCTGCGAGAAATACTGCGGGTGAGTGAGTGCATCACGAAGGGGTGCTTCTGCGAGAAATACTGCGGGTGAGTGAGTGCATCACGAAGGGGTGCTTCTGCGAGAAATACTGCGGGTGAGTGAGTGCATCACGAAGGGGTGCTTCTGCGAGAAATACTGCGGGTGAGTGAGTGCATCACGAAGGGGTGCTTCTGCGAGAAATACTGCGGGTGAGTGAGTGCATCACGAAGGGGTGCTTCTGCGAGAAATACTGCGGGGGAGTGAGTGCATCACGAAGGGGTGCTTCTGCGAGAAATACTGCGGGTGAGTGAGTGCATCACGAAGGGGTGCTTCTGCGAGAAATACTGTGGGTGAGTGAGTGCATCACGAAGGGGTGCTTCTGCGAGAAATACTGCGGGTGAGTGAGTGCATCACGAAGGGGTGCTTCTGCGAGAAATACTGCGGGTGAGTGAGTGCATCACGAAGGGGTGCTTCTGCGAGAAATACTGCGGGTGAGTGAGTGCATCACGAAGGGGTGCTTCTGCAAGAAATACTGCGGGTGAGTGAGTGCATCACGAAGGGGTGCTTCTGCAAGAAATACTGCGGGTGAGTGAGTGCATCACGGGTGAGTGAGTGCATCACGAAGGGGTGCTTCTGCGAGAAATACTGCGGGTGAGTGAGTGCATCACGAAGGGGTGCTTCTGCGAGAAATACTGCGGGTGAGTGAGTGCATCACGAAGGGGTGCTTCTGCGAGAAATACTGCGGGTGAGTGAGTGCATCACGAAGGGGTGCTTTTGCAAGAAATACTGCGGGTGAGTGAGTGCATCACGAAGGGGTGCTTCTGCGAGAAATACTGCGGGTGAGTGAGTGCATCACGAAGGGGTGCTTCTGCGAGAAATACTGCGGGTGAGTGAGTGCATCACGAAGGGGTGCTTCTGCGAGAAATACTGCGGGTGAGTGAGTGCATCACGAAGGGGTGCTTCTGCGAGAAATACTGCGGGGGAGTGAGTGCATCACGAAGGGGTGCTTCTGCGAGAAATACTGCGGGTGAGTGAGTGCATCACGAAGGGGTGCTTCTGCGAGAAATACTGTGGGTGAGTGAGTGCATCACGAAGGGGTGCTTCTGCGAGAAATACTGCGGGTGAGTGAGTGCATCACGAAGGGGTGCTTCTGCGAGAAATACTGCGGGTGAGTGAGTGCATCACGAAGGGGTGCTTCTGCGAGAAATACTGCGGGTGAGTGAGTGCATCACGAAGGGGTGCTTCTGCGAGAAATACTGCGGGTGAGTGAGTGCATCACGAAGGGGTGCTTCTGCGAGAAATACTGCGGGTGAGTGAGTGCATCACGAAGGGGTGCTTCTGCAAGAAATACTGCGGGTGAGTGAGTGCATCACGAAGGGGTGCTTCTGCGAGAAATACTGCGGGTGAGTGAGTGCATCACGAAGGGGTGCTTCTGCAAGAAATACTGCGGGTGAGTGAGTGCATCACGAAGGGGTGCTTCTGCAAGAAATACTGCGGGTGAGCGAGTGCATCACGAAGGGGTGCTTCTGCGAGAAATACTGCGGGTGAGTGAGTGCATCACGAAGGGGTGCTTCTGCGAGAAATACTGCGGGTGAGTGAGTGCATCACGAAGGGGTGCTTCTGCGAGAAATACTGCGGGTGAGTGAGTGCATCACGAAGGGGTGCTTCTGCAAGAAATACTGCGGGTGAGTGAGTGCATCACGAAGGGGTGCTTCTGCGAGAAATACTGCGGGTGAGTGAGTGCATCACGAAGGGGTGCTTCTGCGAGAAATACTGCGGGTGAGTGAGTGCATCACGAAGGGGTGCTTCTGCGAGAAATACTGCGGGTGAGTGAGTGCATCACGAAGGGGTGCTTCTGCGAGAAATACTGCGGGTGAGTGAGTGCATCACGAAGGGGTGCTTCTGCGAGAAATACTGCGGGTGAGTGAGTGCATCACGAAGGGGTGCTTCTGCGAGAAATACTGCGGGTGAGTGAGTGCATCACGAAGGGGTGCTTCTGCGAGAAATACTGCGGGTGAGTGAGTGCATCACGAAGGGGTGCTTCTGCGAGAAATACTGCGGGTGAGTGAGTGCATCACGAAGGGGTGCTTCTGCATGCATCACGAAGGGGTGCTTCTGCGAGAAATACTGCGGGTGAGTGAGTGCATCACGAAGGGGTGCTTCTGCGAGAAATACTGCGGGTGAGTGAGTGCATCACGAAGGGGTGCTTCTGCGAGAAATACTGCGGGTGAGTGAGTGCATCACGAAGGGGTGCTTCTGCGAGAAATACTGCGGGTGAGTGAGTGCATCACGAAGGGGTGCTTCTGCAAGAAATACTGCGGGTGAGTGAGTGCATCACGAAGGGGTGCTTCTGCGAGAAATACTGCGGGTGAGTGAGTGCATCACGAAGGGGTGCTTCTGCGAGAAATACTGCGGGTGAGTGAGTGCATCACGAAGGGGTGCTTCTGCGAGAAATACTGCGGGTGAGTGAGTGCATCAAGGGGTGCTTCTGCGAGAAATACTGCGGGTGAGTGAGTGGGCCTTCCTTGCAGCAAAGAAGAACAGGTTCGACCTGGATCCAACAGGTGACTCGTCCTTAACAAGTATCTAATCTTAATCTTCTCTAGGCTGAGCTTAAGCTAGTAGAGATCGAATAGGTAAGAACTTGTTTATTCAAACCTGAGCGTACGCGCGTTTCGGCCGGTGGCCTTCATCAGCGCTCTCAGAGTTACATGAAAAAACGACCCCTTATCTACTCTCTATCTACCGTGCCCAGCACTCAACCCAGAAACAGAAGATCCAGTGCGGCTCGTCATCGCGGCTCGCTAGCTGGCTATACAGTATTTACAATGTCAATCAAACATGCAGGTTGGTGGGACGAATTCAATCCCATCAACTCACGGGGTGGTGTGTCCCCGTTTCTGAAACGCTTTCACCAAGAGGTTGCGTACCCTCTTTGGTAAACGCCAACACACTAACATTCATGGGAGGGAAATTTGTTGCAGCGTATGTTTTTTGAGTGAGTGGGCCTTCCTTGCACTCTCGCCCTGTCTTCTTAATGCCCCCTCTTCTCCTCTCCCCATGAATTCACCTCACTGCCACAAGAGCAGGCTCGCTTGCTGCCCCCCTTCCACCGTCCGACTATTACCTGCTCGCTCGCCATTGCTCTGTCTTTTGAGTCGACCCAAAATTCGACCCAAAAGTCGACCCAAAAGTCGACTCATAAGTCCACCGTCCTACTGTTACCTGATCGTTCGCCATTGCTCTGTTCTTGTCTTCCTCTTTCGTACCCCTACCTCCATCTTTCCGTACCTCCATCTTTCCGTACCTCCATCTTTCCGTACCTCCATCTTTCCGTACCTCCATCTTTCCGTACCTCCAGCTGCGCCCAGGCGTGCAAAAACCGCTTCCGGGGCTGCAACTGTGCCAAGAGCCACTGCTCCTTCAACCGCACTCAACCCTCCATTCTCCCCTTCCAAGTTCCAACCGCCTCCTGTGCTTACTTACCATTCCCTCCCTCACACCCCCAGATGTGCCCAGGCATGCAAGAATCGTTTCAGAGGCTGCAACTGTGCCAAGAGCCACTGCTCCTCGCGCCTCTGCCCCTGCTTTGCTGCCTCCAGGGAGTGCGACCCTGACCTGTGCCGCAACTGCTGGGTCGAGTGAGTGCTTTCGCTTTCTCTTGCCCTGAAACCGTTATTTTAATATTTGAGCGAATTTCTGCCTGGTATTTGCATTTGCTGTTGCATTGGGGTTGTGTCTTTCAAGAATGCGACCGGACCGGACCCGTGTCTAAATAGCTATGAGGGAAATTATTAAGTTGTCTCAGATCAGAATTCACCTAGTTACAATGTTATGATGCCATTGTTCCTGCTGGTCTGTCTCACATGTGCGCAGCTGTGGGGATAACTGCGAGGGGTCTGTGCCGCCGCTGCCACCGCCTGTGAGGGAGGTGACTCTTGGGTCGACTCAAGAGTTTTACTTGTTGTAATGTTACCATGCCTTTGCTCCTTGCCTGTCTGTGTCACATGTGCGCAGCTGTGGGGATAGCTGTGAGGGGGCAGTGCTGCCACTGCCACCGCCTGTGAGGGAGAAAAACTACGACTGCCACAACATGCGACTGCTGCTGCGCCAGCACCAGCATGTGAGTGGGCCGTCTGTATTACCCAATCCCTTGTGTCAGCACCAGCACGTGAGTGGGCCGTCTGTATTACCCAATCCCTTGTGTCAGCACCAGCACATGAGTGGGCCGTCTGTATTACCCAATCCCTTGTGTCAGCACCAACACGTGAGTGGGCCGTCTGTATTACCCAATCCCTTGTGTCAGCACCAGCATGTGAGTGGGCCGTCTGTATTACCCAATCCCTTGTGTCAGCACCAGCACATTAGTGCCCCTTGGAGAATTCCAACCCCCTTCCTTTCCCAGCCGCACCCTCGTTCCCTCCCCCTTTCCTTCTTTGTAAACTCTTTTCCTCCCACCTCCCCCCCTCTGTACCCTAATTTCTTCCTCCTCCCCTGTAACCTCATCTCCTCCCCCTCCCCCTTCCCTCCCCCTTGTAACCTGGTCACCTCCCCTCTACCTGCCTGCAGATTCTCCTAGGCCCCTCCGACGTGGCTGACTGGGGTGCCTTTCTCAAGAGGACGAGTTTTAAGGCTCATTAAACTCGCCTTCAATCTCGTCTCCCTCCCTTACCTGCCCCTGTAACCTCCTCCCCTCCCCTCTACCTGCCTGCAGATTCTCCTAGGCCCCTCGGACGTAGCTGGCTGGGGTGCCTTTCTCAAGGTGAGTGGTTTTTCGTTCCTGCACTGGACAGGTGTGGTATGGCGTGATGCAGCATGGTATGGTATGGTACGGTGCAGTACGGTATGGTACTGTTACTTTGGTAAGGTACTGTATGGTATGTTGGTATGGTATGTTGGTATGGTATGTTGTACATGGCCAGACAAAGGTAGAGCATGCTCTGATATGGTGGGCCTCGTGTTTGCACAATTGACCTGCAGCAGAAGTTGAAATAATGTCCTTGAATCGACATCTTCGAGTCATCCGAATCAACACAAGTGCCACTGGAAAGTTACATATGTGATGTGCTGCTGTGTGGTGCTACACTCCCCTGCTCTGTGGTGTTGTGTGCTGCCGCATGCTATGCGGTGTGGTGCGGTAATGTGCGATTCATGAGTCGGGTGAAAGTGAGAGTGCTGAGGAGTGCACATGCAAGCTCATAACAGGGCACACTCATTTGCTCATGCTGTGCTCTCCATGTTATTCTGTGCGATGTTGTGTGGTAACCTGTGGTGATGTGTGGTGCGGTGTGGTAACATGCGGTGCTGTGAGTTGCAGAAGGAGGTGGCGAAGAACGACTATGTGGGGGAATACACGGGCGAGCTCATATCAGAGGCGGAGGCAGAGAGGAGGGGCAAGATCTACGACCGCATAAACTGCTCCTTCCTGTTCGATCTCAACAAGAAGGTAAGTGAATTGATGTGTTCTGAAAATCTATTGGTGAAACTGTAATATCTTGGGCAATTCCGTGAGGGGCAAGATCTACGATCGAATCAACTGCTCCTTCCTGTTCGATCTCAACAAAAAGGCCAGTTGATGCGCTAGGAATATGGAGTTGTTCTGGCAATGGTACCAGTGGAGTGTTTTTTGTAATTGTATTCCCAGTAAGTATCCATTCTATTTTCCTCACCCCCCCTGCCCCCATCCCCCCCAAACAATTAACCCTTCTTCTTCCAGTATGTGCTGGATGCGTTTCGTCGAGGCAACAAGCTAAAATTCGCCAACCATTCGCTTTCGCCAAATTGCCATGCCAGGGTGAGCAGTTTGATGAACCTGGAAACCTCATCCAGTCTGCTCCGAAGCTGCATCTCTTATTGATAATGCATGTTCTGTTTTGCATGTGTGGTGCGGTTTCTTCAGGTCATTATGTCTGGTGGTGATCATCGAGTGGCAATTTTTGCCGGAGAAAGAATCGAATCTGGGAAGGAGTTGTTTTACGACTATGGATATGCATCTAATTGCACGCCTTTATGGGCACTCAAGCTTGGAACAGCCGCACGTAGGACAGGCGGCCCAGGGGGGAGCTCCAAAACCACTAGAAAGGCTCAGAAGGCTGCTTGAATATGAGCTTTTTTAGTTTACACCAAACATTCCACATGTAAAAGACTTTGTTTCCATCTCCATTGAATAATGTAGTGATTGGAATTTGACAAATGGAGTACCTACCACCTGTAACAATGCGATCAATTTGGTGGAAAGATGTCGCTCAGGTTCAGGGGCTTCGGTTACCGTCAGGTGTCCATGCTGACGCTTGCATTCACTGTATGTAGAGCTGTCCGAACCGCCTATGATGTCCCACCAACCTGAAGCGGCATTAGTGATGGCCAATTACCCGAGAAAGCCGCAGCGGACGGTTATTACCATCTACTTCCTTCAATATCGGAGGTGGAAAGCACAGCAAAGGAATGTGCGGTAGTGTATAAGTAAGCTCTGCGAGTGTCCCCAACTCCACATCTCCAACTCTTCGGTACTGAAACAGAACACATTTCCAACCAAACAAAGAACGGCCACATCCCTGAGCTCAAAGGAAATCTCCGTCCGGGATATCTCGAGATTTTTGTAACTGGTCTTTAGGGAGCGAACAGTTTCCATATATACAGACACACGTTGTGTAGCCTCCGACCACACCCAGCCCAGGTGAAACCTACAGTGGCTTTGTGATGGAATTGTTCCAACCAGTCTGGCGCCCGCTGCCTCACTTTACCCCAGCAAGTCGTTTCTATACCGTACTGTACCTGATATCTCGCTACAGTACACTCCGCACGTCTCGTTTCGTTTAGACTCAGGGCAGTTTTGGGTAGCGTCGAAAATGCACAGGCAACACCAGGTGAAGGGAAATGCCTATCGAATACACTGGCGTGTGGAATTCTTGTCAGATTAATTTAGAATCTCTATACGGGCAGGGGAAGGGCAACCAACAAAAGCTGGACATCAAGGAAATGCTGATAGGCAAGTAAGGAAACTCGGGGGCTGCGAATTGTGATGTTGGCAGGGGAGTGGAGCACAGCAGTGCACTGCAGCTCATATCAGCATCCAGGGAAACCAGCTCTTGGCTTCGCTTGCCACATTCTCAATCTCATTGCTGTCGTAGGCAGAAATGCAGGGTCCCATGCTGTCGCAGTAATAGGCGCGCGCATGGGCGCTACTCATCCCCGCGGACGCTCCGCCAGGATCTCCGCTGCTAGTAGGAGATCCGCGATGGTTCCCGCCATTGGCGCGCGTACGCGCCTCCCGCCGCGTTCTCCTTCCACCCAACCCCCGCGGATCTTTTTCCCCGCTTCCGCCCACGCTTCCGCCCGCGCTTCCGCCGCCACGCCCTTCACCTCGATAATGTCTGCGATACTGTTGTCCTCATTACTGTTCGCCGCATTACTAGTCACTCCAGCGGTTGCCCAGGGGTCAGATGCGACCTCCCCCGGCTGTACCGTCTCCGCGTCGGCGGTATCCTGCCCGGCGGGACTTGGGGGCCGCGCATTTGCGCTCAACGCGCAAGCTTACGTCGCGGGCGCAGGCCGAGAAAACGCGCTCGTCCTGGGCGCGGGCGGAACCGCGGATAAGGGATCCGCGGGTTCCGCATTCACTACCGCCGCGCTCTCGCCTCCGCTCGGCGGCGGAGGCTCCTTTTCGGCGCGCTTCACATTCCAGCTGGAAGGACAGAACGAAGCTGACGTGGCAACGGGGCTTGCTTTCGTCATCATTGGCGGAACCAACACCGCTGTCGGATCGCCAAGGTGAGATACAACCTTCCCCATTGTCGCTCATATCCCCTCTCCTCCGCCTTCCGCCATTGACTCCCCTTTCCCCGCTTCCCCGCCTCCCCGGCCCATTGTTCCTCTTTCCCCCGCTTCTCCGCCTCCCCTCTTAAGCCCAACATGTGGGATCAAGTCAGGCACGCCGTGTCCCCTTATCTGACCTTGCCCCTCCCCCCCCCAAGCGCTCCCCGTGTGGTTTCCCGTGCGCTCATCCATGCCCTCCCCTGTGCGCTCGTCCATGTGTCCCCCCATGCGCTCCCCCATGTGTCCCCCCATGCCTTCCCCCGTGTGCCCCCCCGTGCGCTCCCCCGTGCTCTCCCCGTGCTCTCTCCCGTGCGCTCCACCGTGCGCTCCCCCATGCGCTCCCCCCACGCGCCACCCCCCCCCACCGCCGTCCTCCTCCCTCCACACAGCTCTGCCGGCTACGGCGGCGCCGCCTTCGATGCCAGCCTGGCAGTGGTGCTGAGCGGCCGCCCGCCCATCTCTGCCGGCGTGCTGCTGGGCGGCAAGGCGGACGGCACTGCCGGATGGGCGGCTCTCAACCCCTCGTCGCCTGACGCACCGCATGTAAGCTGAGAGTGTGGGGAGGGAGGGAGGGGCACCCCCCCCCCCCCATGTAAGTAACTCCAGGGTTATGTGTGTATGTGGGACACTGTGACGTGATCGGCCTTGCAATACACGTTGAAGGTGTAGGGAGAAAGAGAAGGGTCGCATCGCACTCCATGCACTTTGAAAATGGACGGAGGGAGGGAGGGTCGGTCGCAACCTGCAACGCCTGCACGTACGCACGTGACTTGAAGGTCCTGAGTGTTGGTGGGGCAGTGATGTTTGCCGTGCAATGCACCCCCCGTCGCCTGACGCACCGCATGTACGCTGGGCGTGTGGGGAAGGAAGGTTGCAACCCATGTGCTCTGTGCCCCACACATCCCGTGTGTGCTCTGTGCCCCACACATCCCGTGTGTGCGCCCATCCTCCCACCACGCCACCCACCTCCCCGCCCAGCTGTTAGTCCCGGGTGTGCAGCAGCACGCCTGGGTGGACTACGACGCCTCCCTTGCCTCCCTCCACCCTTGTCATCCCCACTCTTTCCCCCATCCCCTTGCTCCATTCTTTCCTCCTCTCCCCCCCCCATGTCTGCAGCTGCTAGTACCGGGGGTGCAGCAGCACGCCTGGGTGGACTACGACGCTTCCAGCTCATCCCTCAGCCTCTTCCTCAGCGGCTCCTCCCCCACCAAGCCTGCAGCTCCGGTGCTCTCCGAGCCCGTCGACCTGGCTCGGACGCTCGGCTTGGCCGCAGACGGCAGCTGCCCAGATGGCATTGGCGAGGCGGTGGTGGGCGGCGGCGGTTGTCTGTTTGTGGGGTTTACGGGGGGGTCGGCAGCAGTGGATAGAACCGAGCTGGCAGCGGCAGGGGTGGTCGCCGGAGGGGAGCTCATTCAGACCGTTGACTCGTTTGACTTCAAATTCCTCTCCGCTGGCGCTACAGCCGGTGCTACAGCCGATACTACCACTGCTGCCACTGTTGATGCTTCCAGCACTGCATCACGTCTCCCCCACTCGGCTGATATCAGCGGTGCAACAGTAACTTCATTCGGAGCCACAGACCCTTCTGCTGCTGGTGGTGGCCTCTTCTCAGTCGCCTCTGTCGATTCCGGCTCTGGCACTGGTGGTCTCACCGCCTCTGCCGCTCCTGCCCCTGCCCCGTCCGCATCCTCTTCCCCTGCTCCCTGCAACGTCACTGCCACCAGCATCTCTTGCGTTGGCTTCTCCTCGTCCTCCTCCGCCTCCCCCGGTCTCTCTTCGCCCTTCTTCGTCCTCTCTGGGGATGCTCAGGTCGGGCCCGGACCGAACTTCCCCATCTGGCTTGACACCACCACCAATGCTGCCGGCTGCGCTTTCTCCATCCCGAGCCTCAGCCTCAGCCTCGGCAGCGGTCCGGTGGCGTTTGAGGCGGCGTTTTCGTTCTTGTTTGCAGCGAGTGCGGATTACAACAGCTGGGGCAGTCGAGGGCTGGCCTTTGTGCTCACTGCCGGGGAGAAGACCGCCTGTGGCCGCAGCTCCGGCAGGTGAGAAGCGGTGGAGAGTGGTGGGATGTGGTGTGGTCATACCTCCTGATGTGCTTCAGATTATGAGCAGTGAAGGGCTGGCGTTTGTGCTCACTGCCGGGGAGAAGACCGCGTGCAGGTGCAGCTCCGCCAGGTTAGAAGCGGTGGGGAGGACTTGGGTGTGGTATTACTGATCCGTGTCACAGCTCCCAACACAGCTCTCAAATTGCCCCGAATCATCCCTCTGCCGCCACATTCCTACCCTCTGATTCCCTTCTTCCACCCCCTCTTCCCATCCACACCCCTCCCCCCCCCCTTCCCCCTCTTCCAACCAGCGCCATCGGCTATGGAGCAGCCCCCAACGCGTCCTTCGCGCGGAGCATAGCGGTGGAGCTGAGAGTGCGGCCCGTCAACAGGACCCTCACTCCTGCCCCTTGCTGCTCTCCCATTACCCACCAGCAACATAGGCTATGGATCAGCCCCCAACGCGTCCTTCGCGCGGAGCATAGCGGTGGAGCTGAGGGCGCGGCCGGCGGCGTGTGTGGCGGTGGTGGTGGGCGGGCAGGTGGCCGGCGACAACTGTGCCGACTCCGATGCCATGGCGCTGCTGCCGCCCAGCCAGGTCAGACCTGCTTAGGTAGTGCCTGTTCAGGTCAGACCTGCTTAGGTAGTGCCTGTTCCGGTCAGACCTGCTTAGGTAGTGCCTGTTCCGGTCAGACCTGCTTAGGTAGTGCCTGTTCCGGTCAGACCTGCTTAGGTAGTGCCTGTTCCGGTCAGACCTGCTTAGGTAGTGCCTGTTCCGGTCAGACCTGCTTAGGTAGTGCCTGTTCCGGTCAGACCTGCTTAGGTAGTGCCTGTTCCGGTCAGACCTGCTTAGGTAGTGCCTGTTCCGGTCAGACCTGCTTAGGTAGTGCCTGTTCCGGTGACAGATGCTCAGGTAGCGCCGCCTGCCTGTTCAGGTAAGACCTGCTACGGTAACTCCTCCCGGGGTAAGGCTTGCTCGAGTGAGGGTGTCACCTGTCTGGTAAGGCCCCTCTTTTTTAATGCCCCTAAGATTTATTTGAGAAAGTTGCAAGGCTCACTCGACAAAGTCAAAGGTCTCGAGTTCAATTCCCACTGTGCACCATGATCATAACCTGTCTAAGTCAACCCCGGTAAAGGGGATGTCACGTGCATATCATCCTGGGGCTTGCAGGCATGCTTTCTCTCCCTTCGCATAATACGTCTTTGAAGCCCCACGATTAGCTGTCGAGTAGACGATCTTACACGCCTTTGATCCTAGTGCTAAACGGACTCCGTCTTGCAGCTCTTCCCCACGAGTGAGGATCCTTGGAACCTTACGTACATGTATCGTCTTTAAATTCCAGTGGTTAGTTAGCAGTCGAGGTGTCCCACCCAACAACAACAAGCCCTGTTTTCCTGAAACCCCCATTCCCTGCTCCTCTGGCTCCTCTGTTCCCTCCATTCCTCGCTCCCCCACTCCCCCAGGCGTTCACCCTGAACGAGCCGCAGCACGTGTGGGTGAGTTACGACGGCAGCAGCGGCGCGCTGCAGGTGTTTGTGTCCCCAGGCGCGGCCACCAAGCCGTCGGCGCCCGTGCTGGTGGCGCCCATCGATGTGGCGGCCGTGCTGGGCGGCACATCGGGGCTGTCGATTGGCTTCACAGGCGCCTCGTGGTGGACGTGGGTGGACGACCTTGAAGACCACATCATCCACTCCCTTTCCTTCCAGGCTGGTAAGATGTTATTATTGTTGTTATTATATTAATAATTACTGTTATTGTTATTCTTGTTATTATTATCTTCCTCCGTGGCAGTCCCTCATAAAAATAATGATAATAGCTATAACAATAATACTTATGATTATAATGATGATAAAAATAATAACAAGGTGCACGCATAGGACCATATTGTGGGGCTTCCTCGTCCATCATGTCTTCGTGTTTGAATACACGAATCTGAGGTCCGGGGAGTCCTCACTCTTGGGGAAGAGCTTAGAGCACCAAGGCGGAGATCCTTTTAGCAGTAGGATCAAAGCCTGTAAAAATCGTCCACTAAACTGAATGCTCGGCTATAGAGAAGGCTTGCAAAAGAACTCGTCTCTTGATTAAAACAAGACAAAGACAAACATGTTTCGGCCTATCACGGTGGAAAACCCGATCAGACCTTCATCAGTGTCAAACTCCTAGGATCCATTTGTGGGGCCTCCTCGTCCATCATGTCTTCGTGTTTGTTTACCATCTGTTTTGTTCTCAGCGCAAAGTCTATTTTTGAGGTGCCTCAATGATAGTCTCCCATTCGTGTCTCTGTGTTGGTTTACTATCCCTCAGGTACTCAGCTCAAAGGTGACTGTTGAATGAACCCCCCCCCTCTACTTCCTTTTTCCATCCCCTCTCTGCAGTCCCCCCCGGGTCCCAGCAGTCACTGCCGCCTTCCCCTGCGCCCACCACGTGCCACCTCGCCCCCTCCCACACGCGCCTCACCTGCTCGGGCTTTGCGGGCCGCTCAGCCTTCCGCCTCAACGGCTATGCCCACGTGGGGCCCGCCCCCTCCTTCCCCCTCGTCCTCGACACCGGCGGCACCGCTGGCAGCGCACTCACCCTCACTGATCTGGCACTCTCGCTGGATTCGTCCACGTCAGCAGTGACTGCAGGAGGAGACCCGGCGGCAGCAGCAGCAGCAGTGGCGTTTGAGGCGGCGTTTGCGTTCTCGGTGTGGACGGAGACGTCTTATGGCTACCGGGGTAGCAGGGGTTTGACTTTTGTTGTTAGCAGCGGCGACAAGACTGCCTGCGGGTCGAGTGATATGGGGTGAGTGGAGCGACATGGTAAGTCAAGGAGGCGTACAATGACTCAAAATTGTATGGCATGGGTAGGATAACTCTTTCCCTACCATCTTGCAATTGATCATATCTACCTTCTTACTTCAGTGCAACACAATCCTCACTTTCTCCTCCTCCATTCCTCCATTCCTCCAACCTACTCAGCACCCTCACGTGTCTCTCTCCACACCCTCCCCTCAGAGCCATAGGGTATGGGAGAGCGGCACCAGGGGCGTTCAACGGGAGTGTGGCTGTGGAGCTTTATTCGGGGTTTGAGGCACCTGAAATGGCCTGCCTGCCACACCCTTTCTTTCTCCCTATCTTCGCAACTCACCCATCCCTTCCCTTCCCTCCCCTTCCCTCCCTTCCCTCCTTTCCCTTCCCTCCCAACAGAGCCATAGGGTACGGGGGAGCGGCACCAGGGGCGTTCAACGGGAGTGTGGCTGTGGAGCTTCGGTCGGGGCCCAGCTCGTGTGTGGCTGTGGTGGTGAATGGCATGGCTTCAGGCGACAACTGCGCTGCTGCTGACCACATGACTGGCCTCACAGGAGACCAGGTCAGTTCAGTGCGGTGAATTGTGAAATAGTGCGGCGAATTTTGGTTCTCTGCGGTGGACTGCGGTTCGAGGGGAATGTGGCAATGGAGCTGCATTTGGCATACGATACAACAGCGCTTCTGAAGCTATGTTCCATCTGACGCCCTCATGTTGCAGCGTCCGGCGTCCAGACGTTACTGTCCGGACGCTGGACGCTGGGGATTTTGTTTTTGGGCAGCCCCCCAAAAAAATCCCGCACAAAATTGAGGCGCGATTTAATCGCGACCAGATTCGCGATGAAATCGCCAATTGTGGGTTACGTTTTTGAGCTACAAAAACGCAACCCACATTTATTTCCCCCCCACACATTTTCACCCATCCAAATCTACTTGTCCCAACCTGGTCGACCCCCAGCTAAGCCAGAAAACCAGATCTAGGTCGACATTACACATTTCTGTTTCTGTCGTCATAGCCTAGCAACCTGAACCCTAGAATCCAACAGTCACGCTACTGAGTTATGCATGTGAGACTGACAGTATTTAACTTGTGTGAGATTAGGGGATTTTCAGAATTTTCAGAATTTTCTGGAATATGTACAGCTTTTGGTGAAAAATGTGAAGTTGTTGCATCCTAACCCCTGTTTAGCCTTACTACCAAGGTTTTTTTGCCCCCTGCCGGGGATTTTTTTTTGCCTGCCCGGACTAGCGTCACGTGGGCGTCCAGGGCAGAGGAACCCGGGCGTCCAGCATCTTGACGCCCCATCCAGACGCCAGCGTAAAAAACACTGGACGCATCAGATGGAACATATTTCTGAAGCCGCCTCACCAGCCACCCCTCTTACTCCCCACCGTTTCATCTGTTGCGTGTTTTCTCTGCATGGAAATAAGGCAGCAGCACGCGTGGGTGGCACTCCCAACTGCAGACTATTTCGTTTCCACCCTCAACTCACTTTCCCACCCTTTCTTCCCGTGCATTCTTGTGCTATCCTCTCAGGAGATTGCTCTGAGCGAGAGGCAGCACGCGTGGGTGGCATACGACGGCACATCCCAGTCACTGGAGGTCTATCTGGGCGGCAGCGACGGCATAAAGCCCGAGGAGCCGGTGCTGAGGGCGTCACTTGATCTCGTGGCTGTCATTGGTGCCACGTCAGCATCTGTGGGGTTCACAGCTGGCACGTGGTGGTGGGGATGTGGCGACACGGACGACCACCACCTCATCCATTCCTTCGCATTCAACACTGGTGAGCTGACGGGAATTTCTCTGTGCTAACGACTTAAAAAGTCCTCGAATTTTGAGTCTGTTCCAAAGTCAACATGGACGACCATCACCTCATCCACTCCTTCTCCTTCAACGCTGGTGAGCTGGCAAATATCCTTGGATACCAGATAAGTAGTTGACTTTTTAGTCGACTCAAAAGTCAACGCAAATATCCTTGGATACCAGATGGGTAGTTGACTTTTGAGTCGACTCAAAAGTCAACGCAAATATCCTTGGATACCAGATTGGTAGGATACGCTTTCTTGGGACTCAAATTCTGGCTTTGAACATATCGTCTTCCGTTGCCTCCCTACCCTCCCCCTTGCCCACACACCTCCCCAGTGTCCCCTGGGTTCCTGCCAGCAGCATCACCCACCTAAATCCCCGTCGAACCCTCATTTCCCTCCCCCACTCTCTTTTTATCCCGACACCTCGCTCTCCCCCCAGTGTCCCCCGGGTTCCTGCCAGCAGCGCAGCCAACACAGGCGCCCACCTGTGACACCACCGCCTCCTCCCTGCACTGCACTGGCTTCGCCGGCTCCACCCCCTTTGACCTCAACGGCTACGCCCAGCTGGGCCCGGCGCCGCTCTTCCCGCTCTGGCTCGACTCGTATGATTCTGTCGGCTCTGCGCTCTCCCTCGCGCCCCTCTCCCTCCTCACCGCCTCCGCCCGCTCCTCCGCCTTTGAAGCCGCCTTCTCCTTCACCTTCCTCGCTGATGCCTGCGCTGCTATCCCGGTACGATACTCACCCTTTCACCTTGGCACCCTTGTATTGTCTGCACTCTTCCACTCTACATGCTTGCACACCACACCCCAATCGCCTTTGAAGCCGCCTTCTCCTTCACCTTCCTCGCTTATGCCTGCGCTGCTATCCCGGTAAGATTCCCACTCTTTACCCTTGCACTCTTGCACTCTTGCACCCTTTTGGGGTTATGCTATAGCACCCTTGCACTCTAGCACTCTGCACCCTTGCACTCCGCACCTCTCTCCCTCCGCACCTCTCTCTCTTCCCCTTCACCTTCCTCGTCGATCCCTGTGCTGCAATCTCGTTGCGATTCTCACCCTTTCACCCTTTCACCCTTTCACCCTTTCACCCTTTCACCCTTTCACCCTTTCACCCTTTCACCCTTGCACTCTTGCTTTCTTACAACCTTGCCTTCTATACCTGTTTTCTCCTCTCGTTCCCCTTCACCTCTCTTTCTTCTGCTTCCCCAAACTGGCAGGTGACGGGTAGAGGATTCACCTTTGTGCTCACCAGCGGCCCAGCAACCGCCGTCGGACCACAAAACGCAAGGTGCTGTGCGGTGCTGGGTGCTGCTGGGTGGTGCTTGCCGGTGCTGACTGGTTCCAAATTGTGCAGAGGGGTGCTAGGTGGTGCTGGCTGGTGCTGGCTGGTGCTGCATGGTGAAGGCCCCAGTTGGGGTGGACGGTACAGAGTAGAGTCAGGTTCTGACTGTGACCCATGCCTTGACTTTTGAGCCGACTCAAAAGTCAACATGCCTTGCGTAGCTGTCTCACTCACCCTTTCCCTCATTTGTTGTCACGCTTCTCTCTCTCCCTCTGCAGTTCCCTGGGCTATGGTTCGGGAAAAGGGGCGTTCCTCAAGAGTGTGGCAGTGGAGATGTACCTGTGCCCCGTCCCTAATAAAGTCGTCTCAGTGTCGCATTTTGCACTAGCTTTCATCTGTCTCACTCTCTCTCTCTCTCCCCCTCGCAATTCCCTGGGCTACGGGTCGGCAGGAGGGGCGTTCCTCAAGAGTGTGACCATAAACTTCCGCCTGTGCCCCAATAGCACAGAAATGTCCATCCTCTATCCCTCACTTCCTTCCACCCTTTTTCTTTCCCCTCTCAGGTCCCTGGGCTACGGGTCGGCAGGAGGGGTGCTCCTCAAGACTGCCAGTGCTTTCACCTGTGCCCCATGCCCCCTGCCCTGTCCCTTGTAAAGCCGTCTCAATTTCTTTTTCCTCCCCTTGCCCGCTTCTTTTCTCCCCTCTCAGTTCCCTGGGCTATGGGTCAGCAGGAGGGGCGTTCCTCAGGAGTGTGGCAGTGGAGTTCCGCCTGTGCCCCGTACCCTGTATAGCCGTCTCCTCTAAGGGAGTCGTGGCGGGAGACGGTTGTGCTGGAGCCGATTTCTACACTGTTCTGCCCCCAGAGAAGGTGCGTGCGCTCGCCTTGCTTCTTTTTTAAGTGTGTTTCAAAGACCCTCTTTTTCTCTTTTTTTTGTTCCCTAAGTCTCCTTGGGAGTCGGCTGCTCCTTGCTTTTGGTATCTCAAGCCATAATTCTTGGACATTTACTGCCTGCCCGTAAACGGAGGGGGAGTGTGGCCCTTTTGAGAATTCTCAAAAGCTCACCGCCGCATCTCCCCTCCCTCCCTCTTTAATTTCCCGCCAGCCTTTTTCTCTCAACGCCCAGCAGCACGCCTTATCTGCTTCCTTGCATGTGTTTGTGCCATAATTCCTCTCCACCCCACTCCACTCCACTCCCCCAGACCCCTTCAACCCCCCCAGGCCTTCCGTCTCAACACTCAACAGTACGCCTGGGCGAGATGCGATGGGGGCTCTCAGGCCCTCAACGTGTTTTTGGAGGAACGTCCAGGTGAACAGGAGACTACTTTTGAGACGTCTCAAAAGGTGAACAGGAGACCTCCCTCCCTCCCTCCCTCCCTCCCTCCCTCCCTCCCTCCCTCCCTCCCTCCCTCCCTCCCTCCCTCCCTCCCTCCCTCCCTCCCTCCCTCCCTCCCTCCCTCCCTCTCTCCCTCTCTCCCCACCTCCCTGCTTCCCTACCTTCCCACCAGGCCTTCCCACTCAACACCCAGCAGTTCGCATGGGTGAACTACGAGGGGGCGTCTCAGACCCTCAACGTGTTCCTGGGGGGATCGTCCAAGGTGAAGCCAGGTGTACCAACGCTCACTGCCCACCTGGACATTGAAACCCTCCTCGGCGCCACGTCAGCGTCCGTGGGGTTCACTGGTGGCACGTGGTGGGGGCAGGACATGGCGAGTGAGCGGCATATTATCCACCAGCTCAGCTTCGTGGGAGGTGAGAAACAGGAAGAGGTAATGCGAACATCAAAGCGTGAGAGTGATGCTTTGGTCGGACTCTGAAAAGGTGACTGAGAGTGAGTAAAATGCTATGGATTTACATGGCGAGCGAGCGGCACATCATCCACCAGCTCAGCTTCGTGGGAGGTGAGAAAAAATGGGTGAGAGTGAGGTGAGAGTGCGAGGGAGGGAGAGGTGCTGTGGTCATGGAAGTGGGAGAGTGAGTGAGATGCTATGGATGGATGAATTGACATGGCGAGCGAGCGAGCGACACATTATTCACTAACTAAGTTTTGAGACGTCTCAAAACATTATTCACCAACTCAGCTTCGTGGGAGGTGAGTCAGGGATGGAGGGAGAAGTGGAGGTGAGTCAGGGATGGAGGGAGAAGTGGAGGTGTGTGAAGGACAGCATGAGAGAGGGAGGGAGATTGAGGTGGGAGAGAGGGTGGAAGAAGTGGAGGTGTGTGAATATGGAAGTGCCAGCATGACATGCAATGCACATTGAAGAGGTTGCTTCACTCCTTGGTTGGCTATAACACAGGCATTCTCAACTCTCTTACCTTTCCTTCTCTACCTTCTCCCCTTTCTCGCGCCCCTCCTTGCAGGAACCTTCTTGAAAACGACCAACGTAACGGCAGAGCAGACGAGCGCCTTTGCCTATTCCCACGAAACGTACCTCTCTCTTCACCACCACCACTACCACCACACCCACAACCATACCCACACCCACCACCGCCTTTCCTTTTGTCCCCTTCCATCCCCTGCACCTCTCAGGAACTTTCCTGGAAACGACCAATGTGACGGCAGAGCTGACGAGCGCCTTTGCCTACTCCAACGAAACGGACCTTTCTCTCTTCACGACCACCGCACCCACCACACCCACCACCTCTCTCTCTCTTGCCTTTCCTTCTCTACCTTCTCCTTTCTCCTGCACACCTCCTTGCAGGAACCTTCTTGGAAACGACCAACGTAACGGCAGAGCTGACGAGCGCCTTTGCCTACTCCAATGAAACGGACCTTTCTCTCTTCACCACCACCGCACCCACCACCACTCCCACTGCCACCACCTCCCTCTCATCTACGGATGCTCTTGCCACCACCGGAACAACTGGGGGGGCGGCGGTGCTGTCAGAGTTGTCTCCCGATGCCACACGCGGCACGGTGGAGTTCCGCTTCACCGCCGCCACTGCCTCGGGGCCACAATCCTTTGTGGGACGCCGCCGCATTGTTGCCTCCCGCCCCGTGGTGAGTGGGGCAGCCTTTGTGGAGAGGTGAGTGGGGCAGCCTTTGTGGTGAGGTGAGTGGGGCAGCCTTTGTGGTGAGGTGAGTGGGGCAGCCTTTGTGGTGAGGTGAGTGGGGCAGCCTTTGTGGTGAGATGAGTGGGGCAGCCTTTGTGGTGAGGTGAGTGGGGCAGCCTTTGTGGTGAGGTGAGTGGGGCAGCCTTTGTGGTGAGGTGAGTGGGGCAGCCTTTGTGGTGAGGTGAGTGGGGCAGCCTTTGTGGTGAGATGAGTGGGGCAGCCTTTGTGGTGAGGTGAGTGGGGCAGCCTTTGTGGTGAGGTGAGTGGGGCAGCCTTTGTGGTGAGGTGAGTGGGGGCAGAGGAGGGGGCGGCGGTGCTCCCGATGCCACACGCGGCACGGTGGAGTTCCGCTTCACCGCCGCCACTGCCTCAGGGCCTCAGTCCTTTGTGGGGCGCCACCGCATCGTTGCCAGTTGACCCGTGGTGAGTGAGTACGGGCGTGCTGACAGATAACCAGGACTGTGTGCATTAACAATGCTATCGGAGCAGCCAACCCTCTTTCTCATCTCGGGATGCTCTTGCCACCCTTTGAGCCAGTGGAACCATCCTGGAGCCACTGGAACCACCCTGGAACCACTGGAACCACCCTGGAAACATTGGAACCACCGAGGGGCGGCGGCATTATCGGAGCTGAACCCTTTGTTCTCTTTCATGGGTGCATGCATATGTGTATGTGTCTTTCGTGAAGGATCAACCCATGTGTGTTTTTTTAACCACTCACAACAACTGCCTTACTCCCTCTGTCCCCCCCTCCCTCTTCCCCTGCCCCCATACCTCCCCCCGCTCCCCTCCCCTCTTTGCAGGTGCGGGCACACGTGTATGTGTTCAACATGGAGGAGCGCCCCATGGGTGCTTGATCACCCAATCCACATCCCTTCTCCCTCCTCCCCCTTACTCCCAACCCCACCCTCCCTCCTTTGCAGGTGCGGGCGCACGTGTACGTGTCCAACATGGAGGATCGCCCCATGGCTGACGTGGCAGTGACGGCACGCATCACCTACCCCAATGGCACCGATGCCTCACACTGCTTCGTCTTCAGCGACCCGCTGCTGCAGGGGATAGACGATGTTAGCGGTGCAGGTGAGATTGCCACCTCTCCTTCTCACAATACCAGCAGCTCTCTTCCATTTGCCACCATCAACCAAACTGCCCTCACGTCAAGATTTCCCACCGCAACCCCAACAGATACCTCCTTGTTGGTCGCTGAAGTCGTCTTTCTTCTTTGCGTCAGGTCCTGCACCACGGAAGTCGCGTCATTTGTCACGTCGGCTACCTTGCATGTCGGCTTCCTTGCATGTCGTAACCGATGCTGCCATCGTCTTCTACCCCATAATTGGCGTCGACAAAAAAATCCTTCTCCAGGATCTTTGTCCGTACCCACTCGAGCATCCACAAGCTCAAGTTATGCAGCTGGGTGGATCAATCAGCTCGTGAATCGAAGCCATGATTTCGGCGACAGCGAGACCATCTTCAGGCACTTGGTCACTAATATTCTGTCATTCTCTTCCTTTGTTTTTTCTCCCCCTCGTTTCTCCCCCTCGTTTCTCCCCTTTTTCCTTCTCCCCTTTTTCCTTCTCCCCAGGCACCCTCCCTTCTGCCACATCAGCGGGCGTTGATTGGCTACTCCTCGCTCTGGACTGTGCTGCGCCTGCCGCTCCCACCAACTTCAAGTTCGCCAGCACCCTGCACTACACCCTGCCTGCATCATCATCCACGTCATCATCCACTGCGACTGCCACGTCAGCACCAGCATCCGAACCAGCGCCGGTGGTTAAGAAGGTGGAGCTGACGAGTGTGCGAGTGACGGTGGTCCCTTCACCAAAGCTGCAAGTGCACTACTTTGTGCCCCGGCACGTGCAAGGGGACGACCTCACCACTCCTCAGGTGAGCATGGGGGAGTGGGTGTGGGGGATCGGCAAGTGGGGCAAATTGCGTGACTGTTTCTGGTGTCTAGGATATCAAAGGTGACATGTGTGCCTCTCTTTCGTATACTTTCTCTCTCTCCCTCACGAAAAGGTGGAGGCAGCAGTGCCAGCTACGCTCGCGGCACTCTTCCACAACTCCCCGCTCCTCGCTCTTTCACTCCCTCTATCCCTCCTCCCTTTCTCCCTCCTCTCCCCAACTATCCACAGGTCGGGTTTCAGTGCCAGTCACGCTCTAACTCTCCTCTCTTTTTCCTCCTCTCTCTCCCTAAAAAGGTCGAGACGCCAGGTCCAGTCACGCTAGCAGCACTCTCATTCCAATCACTGCCCTCTCACTCCCTCGATCCCTCCTCCCTTTCTTTCTTCTCTCCCCAACGCCCCACAGGTGGAGGCACCAGTGCCAGTGACGCTAGCAGCACTCTTCCACAACTCGGGCCACGGCACGGCTGCTGCTGTCGCCACACAGTCACTGCTGCCCACTGCTGCTACCACCACCACCACTGCCGGCGCACCCGCCGCTGCTGACGTGGGCGCTACAACCACAACGGGTGACACGAGCAGCGCCGCAATGAGTTTCAGCATCACCAGCACTGCGCTGGGCAATGAGGCGCAGCCGGCATCTTTCTCCGTGAAGGTGTGTGCTCATGCTGATCTGGACATGTTGATGTGGGCATGCTGAGGTGGACATGCTGATGTGGACACACGCATGCGCGCATACATACACAAACATACGCACGCACGCAAACACACACATGCCCGCATGCAAACACACACATGCCCACATGCAATCACACACACGCACACATGCAAACACACACATGCATATACACACGCCTCACTTGCTTATTCCTATCCTGACCTGTCCCTTCTTCTCGCCCCATCCCCCCTCTCTTTCCCAGGTGGGAAGCATCCCTCCTGCCGCTACAGCCATGGTGCGCTGGACCATAGAGGCCAGCCTCACAGGCACATTCGATACAGTCACCACCACCAACACCTCCTCCACAACCTCCTCTCCTCTCACCGGCCTCTCCCCCATTCTCGAGTCGGTCGATATTCACAACCTCGTGCACGTCGTCTATCTGCCTGATGCTGCTTCAGGTAAACTTCTCACTTTTACCCATCCACCCTCCTTCAGGTAAGTCCCTCGCTCACGGGTGACGTTGGTTTACCAATTTCCGGCGGGGGGTTGGGGGGGGGGGGGGGAGAAGGCGTCATCACCCGGCATGGGCGACGTTTCGTGTGTAACGGTGACTGCGATGAGAAGGGCTTATATCATTCCACCCATCCTGATCCTAACCTTTCACTGCTTAATCGATCTGCCAACTTTTTTCAAAGTCAGACGATGGCTTACGAAGTTTCTGAACCAACCAACCCATCCTTCCAATGTCTGACTTGACCCGTGCATTCAGACAATGGGTTGCCGGATTTCCTGGTGGGACGATGATGGGGACGAGCAGGGTCTGACTGAACCAGTGTCATATCTCTTCCCACCCATCCCCACCCATCCCCATCCATCCCATCCACTGTTCCACTGCTCAATCCATCCGTTCATGCAGACGACGGGCTGCCGGATTTCCTGGTGGACGACGATGGGGACGAGAAGCCAGAGGCCATCTACAGCAGCGCTGGTAACCACGTGCTGCCCGTAACCGCCGTGCCCTCCGCCGCTCTTACGCCTGGCCGTCCGCTCTTTACCAGCGAAACCCGCGCCAAGCTCACTGTCGCTGTGGACTGGTGAGTGAGGGAGTGAAGTATGGTGGTCAGTTCTAATCAGTGAGTGCGTGTCCTGCAAACTGCTGGTCTCACCACCCCGGGAAAAAAACAAAAAAAAAAACAAACAAACAAACGGGTGCCGTCCTTGATCATGATTTCTTTTTCTATTCTACGGTATTTGTCAAGAACTCATGTTGCTAACTTCAGCAACCTTTCCTCCTCCAACCTCCTTCCCATGTAACTTGCCATGCTTGCAGGTCTGCACTCGCACCAGCAGCAGCAGGGGGGAGGTGGGCACACATGTCATTTGCATCGCAGCTGCCGTCGCACTGCTGGAATCTCACCGCTGCTCTCCGATCCAACGGCTCTCAGCTGCCCGTGCCCTTCAACGCCTGGTCCTCCTTCTCCTCATCCCCCGGTGCTCCCACTGGCACCGCAGCTGCCCCCGCCCCGTCAACCGCCACCGCTCCTGCTTCCTCCCCTCCTACTTCTGCTGACACCACTCACATTCTTGACTCTGTCTCCTCTCCCTCCTACACTCTCTTCTTCTCTTACTATGATCAGACCCTCTCCTTCCCCCACCTCTCCCCCTGCTTCCAGGCAGTCATGCCTCCCCCTCCCTCCCCCCCCAACCCTCCCCCTTCCCCTCCCCCTCGCCCACCTCCCCGCCCCCCTCCAAGCCCCCCAAGGCCTCCCCCAAACCCCTCTCCTCCCCCACGTCCCCCTCCAAATCCTTCTCCCCCTCCCCGCCCCCCTCCAAGCCCCCCCAAGCCCCCTTCTCCTCCCCCTCGCCCTCCCCCCAATCCCCCGAAACCTCCTCCCCCCCCGTCTCCTCCCCCTCGCCCTCCCCCGAACCCCCCACCAAAGCCCCCCTCACCACCGCCCCCCAAACCCCCGTCTCCCCCACCCCGTCCCCCGCCCAACCCTCCCCCGAACCCACCACCCCCCAAGCCCCCGTCCCCTCCCCCGCGCCCTCCCCCTCGTCCCCCCCCAAGTCCTCCTCTCCCGCCCCCACCCCCCAGGCCTCCTTCCCCCCCGCCTCGCCCTCCCCCCCGCCCTCCCCCAAGCCCGCCCAAGGTTGTCTAAGACGCTCCGCTTACACAGCCACTTGCATTGGCAAAGGCATCTTGGCCTTGGCGTTTGCCATGAGTCACCTCACCACTTCAGATGTGATTCTCACCTCACGTCGAAGCGGCCTTTGAGTCGGGCAATGCTGTGGATGGATGAGGGGCCTTGGTGTTGGCTCGTCTTACGATTCTTCTGTCACCATGACTATGACTCTCCTGAGTTGTGTGCCTGTGCTTGTTTGTTCTGCTGGCATGCCACGCCACCTTGCTTGCTGGCTTGCTTTGGATACCGATCAGGAGCATGCATACCGGTACCTTGCTTTCTTTTGAACCTCTTGCCTTAGCTTAATCAGTACCGTATAACTTTGACTCCAGTCCTGTGTGTTCATGTGGATTCTGGATGCTATAATGTGGCTTGCTCTAATACCGCGGTGCACATTCAACACGGCTCCTTACAAAATCCTGGAAAAACATAAGTGGCTAAAAGGTACGCACATAAATGAGACTTCAGTGTCTGTACTGTAGCCGCGGTTTTGTACTGTAGCCGCGGTCTGTAGTGTACTCCATGAGAATCACCTGGTCTCATTTGCAACTTTCACTCTCTCTTGCTTACCACCAGCACACATCAAACCCTTCCTATGCCCGGATCTGGACATAGGAGTACCTTGCTACAAGACGTAATTAATATCAGATTTTCAAGCATGGCTAGCGGACTCATTTCTGCTGCAAGTGGACGACCTCCCACTGTTGTAAAGGAATCTCCTCTACTTTGAAGGAACTGGGATTTGTACTAATCAATAGAGCACTCTGTTAGCTTTCCAACGAGCCGTATATCACCTCGATCGCCTAAGTATCGAGCGAGATATAAGCGTTTATGTGCTAGGTAGTGCTCTTGGAATCAAGGAGAGGAGCTCTCTGGATTTTGTAGTCGAATGTATCACATACAAAGTGATTCTCGATTTCAGTATGAAACATGCAAACAAGGCGAGCATATTTATAGCTACTCAATACATCGAGTCGCGCATGTAACATCTAGTCACTACGAGATGTGCTCGAACATTCGTGTACATTTCAAAGGGGTGAAATTCGGTACTCGAATTTCACCGAATGCTCCTTCAATCTCGAATGTTCCTGATGCTGCCATGTGGCACCGAATTGGTGGAGTCTTCCAAAGTCAAACTTCAACCCCACGCAAACCTGCAGCTCACTCGAAGGTGAGCACCAAAAACAGCACCGCTTGGTGGTTGGGGGCAAAACCGCCCCACGCAACCTCCAACACTCCCTCTTGCACCCAAGCCACTAGGTGCTCAAGCCAACACGCTCACAGCATGAACGGAACGAATCCATAGGGAGTGGTTTGGTGAGGAAATCCGCCGGTTGAGCTTTGGTGCTCACATAAGTGAGTTTGACCTCACCCTTCTCAACCGCCTCATGAATGAAGTGATGCTTCACTTCGATATGCTTGGTTCGCTTGTGAAGGACGGCGTTGTGAGAGAGGCTTATGGCGGCTTGGTTGTCACAAAAGAGAGGAGTTGGGTTCGGTTGAGGATGCCCAAGCTTCGCTTGAAGACGCCGTAACCATATTGCCTCCATGGCACCTTGAGTGAGGGCCATATACTCTGCTTTCGTTGGGCCTAGAGCCACGGTTGGTTGCTTCTTGCTTTGCCAACTCACGGCTGCCCCAAGAAAGGTAAAGACATACCCTGAGGTACTCTTGCGCGTGCTCGGATCTCCCGCGTAGTCCGAGTCGGCATAGCCTTTGAGTTCGATTGGGCCGGCTTCATACACGAGCCCCAAGTTAGGTGTGCCTTGAAGGTAGCGTAGAACACGTCCTCCCGCGTGCACATGCTCGGTATGAGGATTGCTCACGACTCGTCCAAGCACCCCGGCGGCGTATGCGAGGTCGGGACGAGTAGAAACGGCGGTAGACATGAGCGAGCCCACTAGCGAATGAAACCGCTTCCCTTCAGCTTCGTCGAGGGTGGATTCTTCCTCTCCCGTGAGGCAAGAAAATCCCGTAGCTAGTGGTGTTCCCACCGGTTTGCTATTGCCCATGCCAAAGCTCTCCACTACCCTCTTCACATATTTCTCTTGGTGGAGGTGGATGGTCTCGTTGGCTCGGTCACGGTCGACGTGCATCCCAGGGTAGTACGTGACCGGCCCCAAGTCCCTCATCGCAAACTCCGCTCCTAGCCATTGCTTGACCTCCCGAATGAGGTCTTTGGAGTCGGAGAAGAGGATTAGGTCGTCGACGTAGAGTAAAAGGACCAATTGCTTCTCCCCCTCCAACACGTACAAAGCGCTATCGCACCTGCTACGAGCGAAGCCATGTTGAAGAAGAAAGTCGTCGATGCGCTTGTACCATCCGCGTGGACTTTGCTTCAAGCCGTAGAGGGTATGCTTGAGCTTCCATACCCTTCCGCTACCATCATCGTACCCCGGGGGTTGCCGCATGTAGACCTCTTCCATGAGAAGCCCGTAGAGGGAGGCGGCGCAAACGTCCAATTGCTCCACTTTGAGGTTGAGAGATGCCGCTAGCGCGAGCAACACCCAAAGAGTAGTAGCCTTAGCGACGGGAGCTAAGGTCTCACTATAGTGCTCCCCCTCCCGTTGAGTGTACCCTTGAGCTACAAGCCTCGCCTTGTAGCGTTCGACACTCCCATCGGCTCCCAACTTCTTCTTACGCACCCATTTGCACCCCACCAAGTAGGCACCCTTCGGTGGGTCGACGAGCTCGAACACGTCATTCTCTTTGATCGAGGCTAGTTCCTTCTCCATCGCTTGCTTCCATAGTGGCGCATCCGGAGAAGCCAAAGCCTCGGTATGGATGTGAGGGTCATCACCCAAGGTTGCGAAGCAATATGCCGCACGCTCCTCGTCCAACTCCCCAACGGCTACCGTAGAGTAGTCGGGGTACTTCGTGTTGGGGCGATGTGTACGTTGCTCGCGGGTCAACGCCAATGGGAGGGAGGAAGGTGTTGAGGAAGTTGCCGCCAGGGTCGATGGCACTTCCACCACGTCGTCATCGCTCTCATCGTTCTCTCCCCCTCCATTTTCGGCTTCCTTTTCCACTTGTGATAGAACCTCCATCGCTTCATCCTCCTCTCGTGCGGGAAGGACGACGGTGAGTTGCGGCATTGGTTGTTCCTTCGTCGGGAACTTGTCTTCGTCGAAGACCACGTCCCGAGATGTGACGACGTGCCTTTCACCCAAGTCCCACACTCGCCACGCGCGCTAGTTTGCCGCAATTCCCAAGTAGATTGCCGCATGAGCTTTCGGTTGCAACTTGTGGCGAAGGGGATCCGGTACATGGTAGTAGCAAAGGCACCCAAATGTGCGTAGGCGGGATAGGTTCGGCTTCGTTCCGATCCATGCTTCGAACGGAGTCGTTCCCAGGAGCACCTTCGTCGGCAAACGGTTGCGAATCCACGCCACCAACGAACTCGCCTCACCCCACCACTTGCTCCCAGGCTTGGAGTGTTGAAGAAGTGAACGAACGGCTTCCACCAACGTGCGATTAAGCCTCTCCGCCGCTCCATTTTGTTGGGGTGTGTAGGGTGTTGTGACGTCGTGCTTAATGCCCTTGCTCTTCATCCATTTCTCAAGCTCCGCGTTCACGAATTCGCCGCCACCGTCGGTGCGAATAGCCTTGATCCGCTTCTTGTCGTAATCGCAAACTTCATGCGCGCCCACTCTTGAATCGCCTTGGTCACATCTCCCTTAGCCTTCAAGAGCCGGGTCCAACACATCCGCGTCGCGTCGTCAAGCATCACCAAGAGGAATCGCGCTCCTCCCTTTGATGCATGCCGCATCGGTCCACACACGTCCATGTGAACAAGCGCAAGCGTGTCCTTAGCGAGGGGTGAGGTACAACTACCAAATGGCTTGCGAGCCATTTGTCCTTCGACACACGCCACGCATACGCCCTTCTCGTCGTCGCCGGCGATCACGTCAAATCCCTTCGCAACTCATTTGTTGACCAACTCCTTGACCGAGTCGTAGTTGGCGTGCGCAAGCCGATTATGCCACACCTTGAGAGTCGCTTTGAAACCTTGCGCCACGTTGGATGATGTCAGAAGAATGAACGAGAAATGAATGAACTATGAAAGAGTTGGTACAAGTACTAACCCTAATTGTGTTGTACCCCTTATGGGCTACCCCACTATAGCCTACACAAATATAAGCACTATAACATTCTGACACACCCCCATAGGCAAAGTGGGGGAGAACAAGTGGTCACAAGACCAGTCAAGAAAAGCAAAGCAAGCTCAGCGTGGATCACAAAGTCACCACACAGTCCGAGCACAAGCAAAGGGCCACAAGACTAGTTCACATGCAGAGTTATATAAAAGAGAACAAACAATACAGTGATCATACCCTTGCAAGTGCAAGCATGCAGGTATATATATAGATCACAGTACAAGCAAAGTCACGCAGTGAGCAAGTGAGGCAAAGTAGGCACAAGGCCTAACACAGTAGAGAAGCGCTGATGATCACCAGGCGGAAGTGCCTTGGTGAATATATCAGCAGTGTTGGCCCTAGTAGCCACGTACGCAAGACGAAGCTGGCCACGCTGCTGCAACTCTCGAGCAAGGAAGTATCGCAGAGCGATGTGCTTCGTTCTGTGCTCCGGTCTGTGCTCCTGACACAAGGCAATCATGGCATTGTTGTCTACGTACAGAACTGGAGGCGAACGAGGTTGCTCTCCCAAGTCAGTCACCAGGTAGGTGAGCCAGCGTAGCTCTTGTGCAGCCATGGCCCCTGCGTAGATCTCAGCCTCACAACTGGAGCTGAGAACCGAAGACGAGCGGGTAGACCGCCAAGAAACAGAGCCGGGACCAAGGCTGAAGGTGTAACCCTGTAACGATCGCTGCGTAGCTGAGTCGTCAACCCAGGAAGAGTCTGCGTGACCAGTGAGGACAACTGGACCCCGTCCTCCAAGCACAAGCCCCATGCTCGACGTACTGCACAAGTAACGCAGTACCCTCTTCGCAGCATCCCAGTGCACCTTTCGGTGCC